TCGATATAAATCTGAAGGCAAATTGGGACTCGGATTTCACAGTTTTGCTTGTAATTAAGACAGTGAGCCGCTTATTTCAGACTTAATTCATAATAAATTGTGTTGTGGCATAAAATAGTGTCGCATATGATAGGGAGTCGTTTAATTCGGGGGTCATTAAGGTACTCTCCACATGTACATGGATATTAATCTGATTTTCCATATAACATGCTGCTAATAATGTTCCATAACTTATTACAACTCTGTTTACACTCTGTATAAACATATGAATGGGGGAGGGAGGGAGGGGGGGGGGGGGGGGAGAAGAGTTGTTTGTAATACCAATTCTTCACCACCCATCAAAGTTTTTAACAGATTTGATTAATTAGTGAACACTTCATTCAAAGAATATGGTAATGATATTGAAAGGGAATTTACACTGCACAAAATCAAAAAGATGGTTGCTACTTGGTCTTAATGATAACTTACATATCAAAAGTAAATCTCCTTAGAAAAATCCTCAAATAAGAGCATTAACACATTAAGTATAACTAATTCATAACAATACAAAGCCAATTTTCTAAAAGAAAGTAGTGGAAAAAAAACAGCCTCTATAAAAATCAGGCAGCTATGACACCTTTGAAATTCACTGAACCCGAACACACACTATGGACATCTTCACTTAATACTAAATAGAGACTAATACTAACAAGTTCTACGACACTCCCATCAAAATCTGTTCCATAGAAATCCTAAAAAACAATATACATATCATTTCTTCTCAGAATATGCATGTCTAAAGATGGCATGGGGCAGTTTAAGACACTAAAGGTGGATAAACAATGACTTCCAACTTCTATGTAACACTTTTTATGACCTCCAACACTCCATCATTTTTTATCATTCTGAAGATCTATTTTTTGTTGTGATTTTTAACATGTTCACAGGTCATCACTCACATACATTTGTAGCATTGTGCTATTTAAAGGGGGTGTAGGGCTAGGGGGTGTTAGTAACTCAAAAGAACGGATATAGATCGTAAGCAGGACCTTATTGTTACAGGCTATGATGACGTAATGATATCCTATAGATCCTATAGACAGCTTATGGTGTGTTGTCACTTATGTTTGTTTACTATCAATTATGTTTATGTGTTCTTGAGGCAAAATTAAGTGTATGCAGAATCCCAGCCTAAAAATCGACGTGTCCAGCAGCAATAAAACATGCATACCAGAACATGGAACATGCCTCACCAAGAAACCCTGGCAGGTTGTTCAACACCAACCTGTAATTCACATACAGTGATTTTTTTACAATCTCATTAGTGTGGGTCCTAGGACTCGCTGGGCTATAAATCTATGAGTCCCAAAATTTAGCCAAGTTACAAGGCTTAATATTGCTTTAGTGATATGAAATGTATAATTATTAACAATAGAAAGGAGAAAAAAATGAATTTGATTTCTACATTAACAAGCATTTGATAGTATTGCGGGCAATACAGTAGTCCCCTACCGGTCCCTCAAAAAGTTCTTTAATTGTCATACACTCCTGTGTATTGCCATTTATAATGAATTTGAGGATGAAGTCAGTCTGTATTTGAAAATATCAACCACAAAACATAATAAAATAAGTTTGTCTATATCACAGTAATGTGTTAAGTTTCCATGCTTAGTAAGGAAATTATGTTTATACAACCTTGTCATATTATTACGATGTGGGATTTTAAAGTAAATCCTATAAGGAATGAAGAAGTTGGAGTGAAAATACCAGTTTCTCGAAAAAAATCTAAGTTCAAGGGGGACATAATTCTGGAAATAGTCTTGCTAGAGTATTTAACCTTCTCAAAAATGTCGAGTGATAATAAGAAACATATATATGAAGTTTGAAGTAGATACATTAGGAAATAAAGAAGTTATTTAAACAAGAGCTGTCCGTAAGACAGCGCGCTCGACTTTTTTATTGCTTGCCAATAAAAAAAGTTTTTGCAGTAAAAGGCAATACAAGAATCTCTGTATTTTTAAAGTGAACAATGGCCATGAGCATTAAGATATTTAGTGAAGAATTATTTTACTGAATTGTGTGATACCCTTGAACACTGCAGCAAAGTTTGAAATGTTTAAGTCAAAAGAGGGCTGGTAAGAAAGAAAAAAAAACTGAGTTGAGCCTTAAATAAATTTAATACAGTCGACTCTCGTTATCTCGAAGTCATTGGGACCGTCCAAAAAATATCGAGATAACGAAATGTCGAGATAAACATATTAGGGTTAGAAGAAGGCGAAACTGATTTTTACATAAGACATGTGCATACCTTATGTCAAATAAACTATAGTATCCCAATGTCTTGTTTTCATAGGCCTAGTCAATATTTAACAAAGTAACATAAGCGGATGTTTACCAGCGGAAATACGGGTGTCTGTGTTAAAAACACATAGTGAGGTTTACTCAATAATACACCAATATAGTGAATAGGATATCGGATATGGTTGGCCCGGATATCTTCCCGGGTTATTTATCGGGTCTTTCTCGAGATTGTTCCAACGCTGATTGATTTGGTGGTGATGTTGTGAAACAATATTGCAACGATAGCGTTTCTATACTTGAACTATTTCATTTACATTTAAAGTCATAATGAATTGATACAGTTTTCGAATATTTAAAAAGAATGTAAAATTCACTCATTTTGGACATAACTCAATCAACACGCTAAATATATTAACTTTTATAAAAAACAGCTAAACTTGTTACAAACATAATCGTCATTATGACGCGCGCTATTAATTGGGCAATTATTGTCTAGATTGCGTTTTTCACACGTCTGAAAGGAACAGACGAAGTCGAGATAAACAAAGGATAATAGTGTGAAAATAACTGTTGGGGCTGAAGTTTTACATCGAGATACTGAAAATATCGAAATGAAAATATCGAGATAAACAAATATTTCCAATATAGATAAAGAAGGAAGAATATCGGGACTTTCAAAATTTCATCGAGATAACGAAATATCGAGAAAAGCGATGTCGAGATAACGATAGTTGACTGTAGTATTAAACCCACTTTGAGAGAATAAGGTATTTTTACGTCACTCAGAACACCTTGGTAAATGACATAATAACATAATTTTTCAAGAAATCTATGCCAAGGAAGCAGTATATTTTTGTACAATCAGCATAATATATAGATTTGAATTTTTTTAGATTTTTTAAGTTTTTTAGTGCTTGCCTATAATACAAAACATTGACAGTTAAGGGCCATAATTCAAATAAAATCTTTGACAGAATTACCTTCTCCTGGACATGTTTGGGAATCATGATTGTAAACAAGTATTCCAACTTTCAAATTAATATCTCAAACAGTTCAGTCAAAAAGTGGACTGGTACTAAAAACTTAACCAAGATTCTAAGTCGATAAAAGGCCTTAATTTTTTAAAACAAATCCTTGACAGAGTTACCTTCTCTTGCGTACAGATGGGGGTAATGATGTGAAATAGCATTAAAAGTTTCAAAGCAATATCTCAAAGGGTTAAGGCAATAAGTGGATTTTACCCATATTCAATGTATTTTCTAAGTCAAAAAGGGGCATAATTCTGTCAAAAACCTTGACAGAGTTATGTCCTCTTGTCTGTTGATGAAGGTCGTGATGGTAAACAAGTATGGTCAGTTTCGAAGCAATACCTCCAATGGTTTTGAAATAAAGTGAGGTGGTACAAAAAACTTAACCAAGCTCAATACACTTTCTAAGTCAAAAAAGGGCCATAATTCTGTCAAAAACCTTGACAGAGTTATGTACTCTTGTCTGTAGATGGAGGTTATGATGGTGAACAAGTATGGTAAGTTTCAAAGCCATACTTGTAATACTTCTGAAATAAAGTGGGGTGGTACGAAAAACTTAACCAAGGTGTGACGCCGACGCCGACGCCGGGGCGAGTAGGATAGCTCCCCTTTTCATAGAAAAGTCGAGCTAAAAAGACAACATTTTTTCCCCTAAAAAATCTAAGTTCAAGGGAGGTAATACTGATATTTTTTGTGCTAGAGTTATAAACCTTGTCACATATGATGTGGTTGATGACCAGAAACTTAAATTTAAAGTTTGAAGTAAACACCTTAAGAAATAAAGAACATATAGTGAAAAAGCTGAAAAATTTAAATCAGAAATCTTGAAATTCAGGCTATTTGTTGCCATAGCAACCAGAATTTTCAACATAGGAAGAAAAGAAAAAGATGTGCATAATCTCCAGACTGCCATCTACCCATATTTCAAGTTTCATAAAAATATTTTCAGTACTTTTTGAGTTATCACTGGATCCAGTTTATGTGTTAAATTTGCCATATTTTCAGACTATTTGTTGCCATAGCAACCAGAATTTTCAACATAGGAAGAAAAAAAAAAGACGTGCATAATCTCCATACTGCCATCTATCCATATATCAAGTTTCATAAAAATATTTTCAGTACTTTTTGCGTTATCGCGGGATCCAGTTTTGTGGACGGACGGACTGACGGACTGACAGACTGACAGACAGACAGACAGACGGACAGACAGACGGACAGACGGACAGACGGACGGAGGGTAAACCTAAAGTCCCCTCCGGTTAAACCGGTAGGGGACTAATTACAATGCTTCTGATACTGAAATTATTTAAAACTGTCAAATAATTTAATAAGTTTATTTCCATTAATTTAGTTTGATATCAATCAAAACTTCATTTTCCTTGATATTTTTATGCTTATCTATAGTATAGCACATAATTATTTCTGTAGAAGAGTTGTAGACCTAGAATATGATTGGCATAACTTGAACACAATTTGATATTTATTACCAAGTTCCTGTCAGACAGGACTCACTACTTAGAAAAAGTATGCATCCAAAAGATGCACATTATTTGAAACTTTGCATCCACAGCAAATTCATTGAGTTCTGGACTCGGGATGCAGAGGTAAAAAAATCACTGACATATATCTTATATCTAGCCATTTCATATGATGTTATCTGGCTAAATATGTTAAAATTCCAGTACCACATACCATCAGAGTCGTTTTCCTCAGTCCAGATCTGTACAGCATCAATGTCTGTCATACTGATGTCATCTAGTCTCCTGTTGGCATTCTCAAAGTGTAAATGTCTGAAATATGAAAAATTTGATAAATATGATATATATTTACTGCTAAATCATTATTATTTGTGGGATACTAATTTTTGTGGTATTCATGGATAGGTCCATGAATTTAAGAACCAACAAAATTTCATTTCTTCTGATGTAAGATTATTTTGCATCACATTATTTATATTTCACTTTTTGAATAACAGTCCACGAATTTAAGTACCCCAGAAATGGTCTGTGACAAAACCACAAAATTTTGTGTCCACAAAAATAGGTGAATTCACAGTACAGTACAATCCCTACTTAAGACCACCCTGGCAGAATTAAGACCACCCCACTATTAAGACCAAGATCAGCTTAAAACATGTGTGAAGTGTGACAAAATCTGTAAACAGTTGATCAAACCCTGACTTCCCTAAAAGTAACACTGGACAAGGCTGCATTCCTCATTCCAAGCGGCAAGCCAGATGAGTCCATCATATGATGTAGGAAGAGTACAATGAAGGTATTAAAATTGCTAAGCTTGAATGTATACAAATACTTAAATGAAAGAGGAATTTATTGTATTTCACAAAATAAAATGAATGAGGGTTTTTTTTTCTCGTTTTTTTTTTCTTCATTTAAATAAATGAAAGTCCCATAAGACATAAATTTTGGTATTTTTTTTATCCTATAAATAACATAGAAAATTCAAAATCACAAATCTATAAAAACTGAATGAAGCAACAAATGTTCAAACCTGTGATCAGGAGAAAGTTTGCATACAAACACAGTGTCATTGTCATTTGTCTCCCCTGACTGATTTACATGGAATGACCCACCTGTAAAAAATATGTACATTGAATTTGAAACATGATTTATATTACATAATTATAATTATTTTAATAATATGTATATCACACAATGTATGAATAGTTGAAAACTTACAATCTTTTACAGCTTTTTATCACACTAAATTGCTTAATCATCCAGAGTAACGTCAGGCCAGATTGCAGATATATACATGTAGAGGATATTGAATGAAAGTAAGTTTAATACTGAACTTAATAAACAAGTAGATGTGCAGAATAATATCCATTTATATACACATTTAAAGTACCAAAAATTTGGCAAGTGTCTATGAACATTAAATTAGTCTTTGAGACCTTCTACCCCTAACATGCTGAATTTCGTTAATGTACTTAGCGTTTGCCATCTATTGAATTTGGATCATTTCATTGGAAATTTAAAAAAATTTCAATAACAAAATACAAAATTGTGGTTCCAACAGTATAAAGCCTGGTCAAACTTTATGGATGTGCACGCTGGCCTGGCTCTATACTAGTTGCAGCAAAGATCAATCGCTTTCCATTGAAGCAGGTTAAGGTACCTTGGTTAATTACTTAGTAAAGTACCTGCTAACAGAGCTTTTACATGTTTCTCGAAGAAATCGTTTTCCTTTTTGCTAATGCCGGTACATCCGGCACAGTGTCTCACCGGATCTACGTACAACATTCGAGGCAGAGATAATTTGGTGGAACTACATGTATCACAGAAACATTTCCCACAACGTCGACAGTGATGCTGAAGTAACACAAGAATGTGACCAATAATATAGATGGATGCTCCTTGTTACCTCATTGAAAAATTAGTAACAAAGTACTTGGTAAAGTACCAAAAAAATCTATTTTAAGCCTCAACGACCTTGAAACCAGCACATCAAAATTTAATATCTTAGATGTTAAAATCCTATTGAAGAATATAATTATATCACTTCCTATCCTTGCAAAACTAAAAATAAATATAAGATCCCTTTAAATTTATTGTGTGCATGAACATTTGCACCTTATTGTAGCTGCATATCATATGTTCAGATACCTTAGCATACAAAGAAGTAAATTAACTTTTAATTACATGTAAGCTCAGCCAAAAATATGCATTAAACAATCAGTCCAACAAATAATTCTTCATGAAAATATATTGTACATGTACATGCAAATAAGAATTTCAAAGTCAATATAGGAAATTTTCTTACCCTTCTGTTCAGGAAGTCAAACTTTCCCTGGCACTGAATGCAACTCTGACACTGTAAAAATAAAAAAAAATAAAAATATCAAAATACTGTTAAGGTATTAAAGCAGAAAATGGTTTTCAAGTTAAAACACCAGAATTTATGGTTTAACTGGATCAAAGTCTGGGGCCTCCCTGGCCTTTAGTTTATGGTACATTGTAGCTGACTTTGTATCACTAGTCCTTGTACAGCCATGGGTAAGATTCCCACTTGGACTATCCACTGTCCAACTAGATTATTGAAGGTCAGTGGTTTCATAAATGTGAGTGCACCTACCCAAAATAACTATCTAGAGGGCACTTAAGATCTTTCTTAACTAGAAAAAGTGAAATGTTACTACATAACATTTGACATTTAAAACAAAAATGTTTGTTGTTTCAAAGATCATAATAGTAAATAAAACAATTTAATGTACAGGTATGCTATTGCAGAAGGCCAGAATCTCCTTATAATCTAAACATGAAATAAAAGCACTGACAGATACTGTCATAACATATAAATAATTTATTATTAACAAATGTTGTGTGTATCTAAATATGTAACAAATAGTCTCTAATTATAGAATCAAATTAATTTCCTCATATTTTTATACATGTATATTTAAAACAAAGGAGTGACAATATCTTATTCTTTACTTTGTGAATGAAGCATATATTATGACCATTAAAATACTTTTTAGAACTTTAAATTAGAATTTACAGTGTTTTTTGATAAAATACTTTTCAATATACAAAGTTCATGTTTTTGATATTGTTGTATATCATACGTATATCATGTGTTCATATATTAATTTTTATTTCTTTACTATTTTGTTTTTTAAAAGGGGAGCGGGAGGGGAGAATGGGAAATAAAGGGTGCTTGTACTATATTTTGACTTCCCCCCACCCCTCTCACTCACTTATATATTAATTTATTTATTTATTCCAACTAACATTTTCAGCTTTCATGAAGTTATTATCTTGACAATCTTGCATTTTGAGTAATTTATATCTAGAGTGTAAAGTATATTATCAAAGAAACTTGAGTTTTGTTCCCTCTCCAAAAGTAACTTGCCCGTATCCCCTTAAAAGGTCATTGAAAATTAGATCATATCACTATATTTTCCTTGATAATCAAAATTTAATATTGTTACATGATATTTCCATACCAAAATACAGTGTATACAGAATAAACTAGAACTATCGCTGAATGCGATTCATACCCCCACCAATGTCCTTGACAGAAGACCACTTGGAAAGGTGGTTAAGGGAATAATTTATGTGGCACAAATACATAAAAAGAAATTATCTCTGGTGAAAAAAAGACTAATTGTACAGGTAATAGTATAAATATATATTATCAAAACTGTTCGAAACAGTTACAAATAACCTTTTCATTTTCCCAATGCATTAAACATTTTATTTATAAGTCAATTTTTGACCTTCAAGTGTGGCCTTGACCTTAATCTGGCACAAGGGTAAGATGGGTTTTGCACATCACCCATTTTGGGTGAACATTTGAGTAAAGTTTGAAGAAAATCCTTCCATCAGTATAGAATTTATAGAGTAGACACAATATATTGTTCTAGTATTGGTTGCATGTAAATTTGAAGACTTAAAAAGGGGATAACTTTGTCAAAATGCAATACAGAGTAATGAAACTTGACCTGCATATCTTATTTGCCACATCTCATATATCTTTTAAGTTTCAAGCAAATGCCTGAGCTAGTTTCAGAATTATTCAAGTACATGTTAAAATTTAAGAACATTTTCTAAGTCAATTTTTGACCTTCAAGTGTGACCTTGACCTTTAGCCGGTACAAAGGTGACATGGATTCTGCACATAACCTTGTTGAGGTGAACATTTGAGTAAAGTTTGAAGGAAATTCTTCCATTGGTATAGGATTTATAGAGCGGACACAACATATTGTCTAATATTTGATTGTATGTAAATTTGAAGGCATAAAAAGGGGCATAACTTTGTTTAAATGCAATACAGAATTATGAAACTTGAAACAGCATATCGTTTTTGTGACCCTTCAAAAATATTTTAAGTATCAAGCAAATACCTTTTCTATATTTAGAATATTTCAAATAAATGTTAAAATTTAAGAATTTTTTCTAAGTCAAGTTTTGACCTTCAAGTGTGACCTTGACCTTAAGCCAGCAAAAGAGTGACATAAGTTTTTCACATCCCCTGGTTGAGATGAACATTTGAGCCAAGATTGAAGAAAATCTTTCAAGTAGTGTTGGACTTACAGAGCAGACATGACATAATGTGTAATATTAGATTGTTTGATATTTGACCTTCAATTGTGACCTTGACCTTGAGCTGACACATGGGCAACATGGGTTCTGCACATCCCCTTGTTGAAGGGAATATTTGAGCCAAGTTTGAAAAAAATCTTTCAATTAGTGTAGGACTTACAGAGCGGACACAACATACTGTGTAATATTTGATTGTTTGATATTTGACCTTCAATTATGACCTTGACCTTGAGCTGGCACATGGGCAACAATGGGTTCTGCACATCCCTTGTTGAGGTGAACATTTGAGCCAAGTTTAAAGAAAATATTTCAAGTAGTGTAGGACTTACAGAGCGGACACGACATACTGTGTAATATTTAATCGTTTGATATTTGTCCTTCAATTGTGACCTTGACCTTGAGCTGACATATGGGCAACATGGGTTCTGCACATCCCCTTGTTGAGGGGAATATTTGAGCCAAGTTTGAAGAAAATCTTTCTAGTAGTGTAGGACTTACAGAGCGGACACGACATACTGTGTAATATTTAATTGTTTGATAATTGACCTTCAATTGTGACCTTGACCTTGAGCTGACACATGGGCGACATGGGTTCTGCACATCCCCTGGTTGAGGTGAACATTTGAGCCAAGTTTGAAGAAAATCTTTCAAGTAGTGTAGGACTTACAGAGCGGACACGACATACTGTGTAATATTTGATAGTGTTTGATATTTGACCTTGAATTGTGACCTTGACCTTGAGCTGACACATGGGCAACATGGGTTCTTGCACATCCCCTTGTTGAGATGAACATTTGAGCCAAGTTTGAAGAAAATCCTTCAATTGGTATAGGAGTTATAGAGCGGACACGAAAATGGAGACGGACCGACCGACTGACGGACAGACGAGCCCGACCGACGCGACAAAGCGAACCATTATAGCCCCCCCACATTTTGTGGTGGGGGTATAATTAAAATATTTATAGGGAGGAACAACACATCAAAAACACATGGTTAGTTTATATATTTGATAAACTACCCATTTTGGGTATAATGTACCCTTCATCAAGCTACAACAAGAGCTGTCAGTAGGACAGCACGCTCTACTATTCTAAGTGCTTGATAGTTAAAGTTCACAAAAAGGCCATCTTTTTTTCAAATCCATGTTACAGTTATAGGCCTTGGAGAAAGTCCTGTTATGCCCTCAAAAAAAGTGTATAAAATTTTAACAAATGTTACAAAGCAAGATGTCAATGAAGTATGAAAATATCTGAGGTGGTACGCAAACTTTAACATAAATTTTAAGTTGAAACAGGGACCTAATTTTGTCAAAATGCCCGATAGAGTTACCTCATTCTTTCAACATGGTGAACAAGTGTTTGAAGTTTCAAGTCTTATGTCAATGGAATTTGAAAATAGTTGAGGTGGTACGAAAATTTAACCGTAGTACGAAAATTAAACATAAATACAAAGTCAAAAATGGGCATTATTCTATCAAAATTCTTGTTAGAGTTACCTTCTCCTGTCTACTGGTTGGGGGTCATTATGGTGAACAAATGTGCAAACTTTTAAAGCCATATGTCAATGGACTTTGAAAATATTTGAGGTGGTATGCTAACTTTAATATAAATACTAAGACGAAAAGGCGAAATGGGTTCAGGTATGTCAAGTACATAGATGTTTTCTTCTGTAGTTACTTCTGGTTTCTGTAGCCATTTCTTGGTTCCTGGTGTGATTCTGATCTTGGGAGTTGTTGTTGAGTAAGTCTTCTTTGGAAAGTCTATAATTAGATGTCCTTTTTTGCTTCTGTCTTAGACTGTCTTTATTGGCATATAACTTATGGCACCAAGTATATAAATTTGTATTTTGTAGTTGTACTGTCATGACTCTTCCTGTGTTTGTAGTAGGAGGACCTCAGGTGTAGTTTGTTGATAGAAGGCCACAAATCTCACATAGTCTGCTAAATTTAACACCAGTATGTTTTTTGTTGTTTCTTGTTGATTGGTTATTTATTCGTATAATTTTTGCCATAATTACATCGGGTGTTACCTTATGTGCTGTAAATTCTGGTTGATTATTCATTATTGTATTAGTTAATCCAGTAGGTGATCTAGTTTTTAGTTTTCTAATCTATGTTTCTTCAGTTCGTCGTTGTGTTGACTGAATGATAACAATTTTTACATCGTTTCCCCCCCCCCCTCCCCGGTGAAAAATGGGCTTGTTATCTTGATATCTTTTTGTGCGCAATAGCCTTCGATCTGAAGGTAACACTGTTCTAAAAATAGATTTTACCTTTAAATATCACCACTACATCACCTGTACTGACTTTCGGACAAGGGATTAGGGAGTACACATTATACATGGTGTTAATCAGCGTACATTTACTTTGTTTACATGCAATATTTTATAAGATATTTAATACCATTGTAGAAAGCAAACAAGTTGGAAATGGAATTTAGTGTGAAAAGAAAAGGGACACTACACACTGTACTTTTTTAAGTTAAATTTAAACATAATCTGCTCTGACCTCTATATATACATCTTTACACCTTGTCAATAAAATTGCACAAGTAATTGGCGATGATTTTAACAACAAATATTTTTTGTGAGACATAAAATAAAAAACAAATATATTTTATTGTCTATACGTAAACAGTGTACGTTAAATCACGGATTCAGTTTAAATATACATGCTAGCATGCATGTACGTATACATTATTTCTGATTAAATAAATACTAGAATCGGCATTTTTTATAAGGTAAAATAGGAAAAATGCAGAGTTTTGCTTATTCGAAAATTATTAAAGAATTAAGATATTAATCATTAATCTAATACTCGTAGCATGTTGGTGCATAGATTCATGACATCTCCAATCTACGTATTTATATAAACACAATTGTGTACGGTATATCTGGGACAGAAAGATACTCTTTCATTTTTAGTCCCAATTTCTTAAAATCATACCATATCATATCACCATTTCTAATTTTGATAAACAGTGAAACAAAAACAAATTGCCAAGCGCCGGCATTTTTCTCAAATTGACATGCTGGGAAAGTATTGCCCCGAAAGTTATTTCTTTTTCACCATATCATCTTTATTTTCCTGATGGTTTTAAGCCATCTCAATCATGCTTTACGCATGTTTAACTCAAGGAACATCATTTCCATTGAGAGAAATGTGAATAAAAGTATTCGTAACCATTATGTTGTATAATCTACATGTAGATTAAAGGGAAAGACAAGGTTAGAATAAAAACTTTATTTCAGAAAAAGAATACTATAAATAATAAATCTGCAAATTTTCTGCTGCCAAATAATAATATTAAACGAATGGTAACAAAATTTAAATCGCTAAATCACAGATTTCTACAAATCAGTAGGCGCGGCCTTGTCTGTGTATTGGCTGTGTAAAAACAGGTGCATGTGATGTCATTTCCCCACATCTTTAGATTTATGATAAATCTAGTTGAATCGTAGCGAAATATTAATATAATAAAGTATTGACCAGACAATTTAATTTTCACAGGAGGTGTAGAGGAGATTTTTTTATGGTTCAAAAAACGTAACAATATCAGAAAAAATAAATAAATAAAGAAACAAATAAAAAATCAACGTCTACCGGTTGCACCACTTCAGTGATGCCCGTTACTCAAAACAATGCTAGGTTCATTAAAGTCTCATCTTAGTGTAATTAAACAATATTTCACAGATTTAATAAATACACATGTAATAAATTATTTAACAGTTTCACAATCAATAATGCAATTAAATAAACAAACGCACCAACGAATAATTGGCTGTTAATTATTGAACGGCGATAATTATCATTATTATAAAAATCCTACTAAAACGTGTTCTTAATAGTACATGTAATTAAATTTTTGCAGTTTGATTCTGACTTTCAAATTAAAAGGTGTGAACATATGTTATAATTGATGTACACATTTCAAAAATATAAGCAACTTTTTTGAAAAGTAAATTGTTAACATGTCTGTCAACGTATGATGCTGCGCATCGTAATCGTAGCCTAATATTAACTGCAGGCAAAACATTTTTATTGGCTGCTCAAAAATCTAATTTGCATAATTTATTCACACAATTGCTGGTTCTTACTACTTATGTCTAATACTTTGCATTGTCCATTTTAATTGTTCCTAATTTGCACCAAATGTTCCTGTCACACTGTGTACTGACTATTTTTATTGCTCCTTGTATGCTTCTGTGCCGACAGACCTTTTGATCATGCACAATGTTGCCCTGATTGGTTAATCACCCTTGTCAAATATTCTAATGACGAAATAGACATCTATTTTTTTACGCTTCATCAGTGAACTGAATGACCTTAGGGGAAATTAAGTTCCACACCTGTCTGTAAATTACAGCATTTCATAAAATAGCAACACATTTTCTTTTTCAGTTACCAATAATCATTTATTAAATATTAAGTAGATTTATGATTTTTTGTTTTATTGGATTAAATTTACGGTAGGAGAAATGCGTATCTGTGTGGGAAAGGGATTGGGTAAGTAGATAACGTGGAAAAAGGTATAGGGAACTGGATAAACCCGAGAATATGCATAATAACAGGGGAATGGGCAACCTGTTGCTGTTGGTACCAGTTTTGTCTGGGTGCCTAAATAAACCTAACGGACAGTTTTGTTTTCATACGATATTAGTCTGGCTGCCGATTATCCTGCGCCATTCTCATTTTTGCGTCAATGGCGAAAAATCGCCTCCCCAGCAAATCTCTGCATATACAAAAAGTAAACGTAACCCAGAAATTTTGTGATATTTTTCCTTTAAAAAAAAAATACCAAAGAGCCATTTTTACCCATTCGGAAAAGGGGTTTTAGCGAAAATTAAGACAAAAAAAATAGGGAAAATCGGGGCAATTTGGGAAAAAGTTTTTATTATACCCCAAATTTTAAATTAAAGGGGTTTTTTCTTTGAAAATTTTTAAACAATCTTTTCCTTTAAAACATGTGGTGGGAAACATCAGCAAACTTGAAAAACGGGGCAAATTTATAATTTAATTTGGGATCTTCAATTTAAATTTAAACAAAAAAATTTGTTCCCTATGATGTTTTCATAAATAATATATAATGTACGCAATAAGATTAATAAGTTCTTCATCAAGATATATTTCAGTTGTACCAGCGTGTACACCTATACCGGAAGTGGGTGTAAGTGTAACACGTCACAATCTCTGTCTCGTCTGTCTCGCGAGAATGACAGAACGCCAAAATGGCGGCGCCCATGAACTTATTTCTCAAGTAAAAAATAGTGTCTTAAAACACGAATTTCTCACTTATAGGGTTGATGTCAACAGAAAAACTGTCACGGTACCTCTTTTTAAATGATGAATATTTATATTAGACAAACATCAATCCATCCATTCCTATTCCTTTAACCAGTTTCCTTGTTCGAAACTTATCGCTATGTGGCTATTTTTAGAACAGGTCTCTTATCAGTGACGTATACGATGCTTATCTCAGATCGTTTCCTATTATCTGCTAGATGGCCATAATTTCTTTCCCATGGTGAGTCTGGTTTGTCCTTTGTATTGATTGATGCATTTCTTGCAAGTGATTAGATATACAATGCTTATGCTTCTACAGGTGTAACTTCCATTAATCTTATATTGCTTACCCATTGCTGTACTTTGAGCATTGAGTTGTATTACTTTAACAGTTTTAGTTTAAGATTTTCACTAAGTTACATATATATATGTATTTGTTGGTGGCATTAAAACCTATTATGTTCCCTAAAACTCTCTGCGGCAGTGGTGACTGACCAGTACATTTCATGAATTTCCTTGGAGAAATAAGACTCACTGTCACTGATCAGGGTCCTTGAAGTTCCTTAAACGTTGATAGCAGACAAAGCACAAACAGTGAACATTCTGCACTGTACCTGTTTTACTTAGTCTCAATATTTTGACTGCACGACCAACCCAATATTTTACAAACTGATATTACAAAGATGTCAGCCTTCTAAGGGCCACCATCGTCTATATAAAAAAAGCCCTGGTGCACTATTTGTTGGGCTACTGGTTTACTCTGATCAATGCCTTTCAACTCTAAAATAGCAGTATGTTCTACAAATGACTTGACATGTCAGGACTTCCTTGGTAATGCTATGTATATTTTTTGTCTTTCTAGATTCCAACATCATAGTAGATAATGTCAAAAATCATAAAAGCGTGTATAACATAAAAACATGTAAAGTTATGAAGCTATGGAAGCCTAAGCTAAGGAGTAAGGCCATGCTCCATAAACTCCAAGCCACGACATGTATCATTATCTATGTCTACAAGCCGAGCACAATTCACAATTCAGATTAATCCTTAACAAAATAATTGAAAAAAAAACATCAAATAGAATCTAGTTGGTTATCATAATTCATTGCACTTGTGTGAAAAAAATTATGGAAACTAAAAAAATGATAGAATATACATGACAGAGTGATTTCATAAGTTAATAACATGTACCTGTGCATCTGGTATCCAGAACGGTTCAGGCAAGGTAAATGGACTGGCAGATGATTCATTTACTGGAACCATTCGCATTCCACCTTTCCCCTTCTGCAACATTTTTCCTTTTTCTGCCATTTTGGATTTTCGGACTTTATTCCGAAACGTAATTTACCGGACAGATTAGAATAAAGTCTGGATTCGGCATCCGGTTATGATTTGTGAACTTTTTACATTTCCGTTCGCGGTATGGCCAGTTATGTGTCTATGTGCCGTTTAACCCAAACAAACAAATACATTTCTGTTTGCCAATTGAAAAATATAAAATGAAGTATAAAATGCCAGATGAAGAAAGTTATTTTTGTTAGATTGAAAAATGTAGATAAACAGTTCTTTTAAGTTAAGCATATTGAAATTAAAGTCATAATACATATGTATCCCGTGATAACATTAAAATGAAAGGTATAGAAAAAGCATATTGTAATAGTTGGAACCGGTTGGAACATTGTATTTAATGTTATGAAACATTCTGCAAGTACAATATTTTGATCATTTTAATGAAATGCTTTACAAAAAGTTTGATACCACACGGCTTTAAATAATCACGGCTTTAAAAATAATTAATTTAAGCCGTGGTATAAATGACTGAAAATAAACTAGGTGTTCCAAAGGACCATAAAGCATGTTCAAATATAACAGATTCTTGAAAGACCCTGATTCCATATATTATAAGTAACTTTTTGTTTGCTGTTTACTGATTGTATTGCTTAAATATAGATTATGATAGTTTATAAATTTCTTTACCATAAAGTAACATGGACGACTTGGGATAGGTTGAGCCTGTACATATTTGGCAGTTTTTGTGACGGTAGCTCAGCCTGCCCGTAATCTTTGTAAATAGTAATGAATTTTATACTGATATATGTATTATACACATAACAAATCTTATAAGCGTGCATGTATAAAAAGTCTCTTATTTGTACCAAAATTGGCCCGATCATGCTGAAAATTACAAAAGATATTGGTAGCATATGTCAGTGAAAATATCTCATTCGAAACTACCTGGTATAAAGTAGAAGTCGGATTATCTAGATTACCGTTAATGAACACGATTTTACCCTCACAATTTTATCTAAATTGTCTGGTTCAGTACCAAAACATGCGCGACGATTGTTTAAGAGTGGGCAAATCTACCTGTCACATCTGTGCAAGAACGCTACCAGTCTGTGATGGACATACACGGTGTTTTATGAACTATCACTTACATCGTCATTTTGAAACATTACGTTTTCACGCACTTTTGCATTTATTGCGCACGTGCGTTGATTTTTTTATTGTGAAATCATCACACTATTCCTCGCTATCTTTTGAATTTTGATCGGCCAAATACTGAGCCACATATGACAAATTTTATACATGCACGTTTATTTGATTTGTTAAGTGTAGATCTAATTTATTATAAAAAAAATCTACATAGATCTGCCTCCTTTTTCATGCAATAAGATGACACACCTGTACAGGCCGGCGTATATCTGTATCTCAGCCTTGTTTTGTACATGAAAAGGCTTTGAAATAGTTGTAATTATAAAACAAAATGTGAGGTCAGTTTCCTCTGAAATTTATATTGACAGAATGACTTTCACTCACTTTTTTTACCAGGTTGTTTTCAATTTTGAAAATCCTTGTTATTAGATTTGGGTAAAGCAGGCTATTGGCGGACGGTGTCGAACGAGATAGTTTCCTCTAAATAACTAGTGCAGATTGACTTATCTTAATCAAACTGGTTAATAGCTAGCTTATGTAAAGACCTTGCTTGGCATTGGTTATGGGGAGTAAGTCAATGTCAAGGGCACTGTTACTCAAAATAGAAAATCGGTTTCCTGTCAATAACTAGTCTAAGGGTTTGGAATGAGATATTTCAATGAAATTTAGTGTATAACAAGCTTATGTGAATGTTTCGCTTCCAATGGATCGAGTTTGGGCCAAACGCACTGTAAGTTAAAATAGAAAATCAGTTTCCGGTCAATAACTAGACTTTGGAATGAGATATTTTAATGAAACTTAAGTATAACAAGCTTATTTGAAGACTTCGCTTGGGATTACCTTTTGTCCCTTTAGGGTCAATGTCACTGTTACTAAAATAGAAAATTGTATCAGGTTGATAAGTATATATAGAGTCAGGAGTGAGATATTAAAAAGAAACAACCTTAATTGGCGTATAGCACACTTATGTGAAGACCTCACCTGAGCTTTATTCGGCCCCCACCTTTCAGGATATCATATTAATTTTCCCATCTGCTGTAATTACAAACAAAATAGTTGCTTTATTCTTTTGTGTCTTTATTATTTATCATTTACATTGAACATAGTAACATTGTACTTTCCGTGTATTTGCATTCCGTTCAGAATAAACCTTCTACAATAGTGATAATTGAAAATCTGTTTTTCTGATTACGAGATTTTAATAGATGTGATAGAAATGAAAAGCTGAATCATGTCTGAAAATATAAACGTTTAATTTCCTAATTTAAGACAAATATTTACATATAATGCATGCATCTGGTTTAAATTTATTTATAGCATCCGAGGAAAAAAATACATTCAACCCCGATATCTCCAGTTGATACAGAATACAGGATAGACTCAATCATCACAACTTGAGACATATATAACATAAATACATTGTACACAGCTTCAAACCATTTATACTTATGTGCATGAATATCGGCGTATCCCAAACGTACTTAATCTGACAATATAGGTCATTATGATAACTCTCTAAGGCCACAAATATATACATGTACATGTAAAACTAGGTGCAAATGTCTCTACAGTGACGTTTCCACAGATAAAATCCCCTAAAATAATTTCAGAGATCATTAACGAAATTGGTTTGCCTCAAGAGAAATGCTTGCCAAGTTATTCCAGATTTTAGCTTTTATATTTCTAGAAAGTTTGAGTCTTTCTGAGGGCGTAAACATCGTTAATGAAGAACATATCACGGAGCTTATAGAGAAAATAGTTGCTGATAAAACATTGGAATTGAAAATTCAAGTTCAAAAGCTAGAAAACGTCGTTGAAAACCAACAGTCGCGAATAAACAATCTAGAAAAGGAGGGAAGACGTAATGAAAGAATTATAAGCTATGTACAGAAATTGTGGGCTGACATGTATCACGAGCTGAAATCAAATAGCTGGACAACTCCTGATGAAGATTTACCGGATACTGTTAAAGATAACTTTGATGTATCTGCTAACAATACTGAGGACAGTTTAATTGGCAAAGACAGAAACGCTTCAATTGATTTAGAACAAAAGCTGGCTACAAGTAGACCAAATTCTAATCGGAGAGACAAAAGAGTAATGAAATACAGACAGAGGCGTGTTCCGGAGGTTGTCGCATTCACAGCGTATCTGAGTCATAACATTGACCATATGGGACTTGGCCATCATATCGTATACGATCGAGTTATTACAAATGAAGGGGCAGGATACAATGTTCACACGGGCATATTTACTGCGCCTTTGACCGGACTATACTTATTTACGTACTCAGCGAATTCCCATTATGTACGAAGCATGTTGGAGCTGGTGGTTGACGGCAATAACATCGTTGATATCATTATTGACCCAGTCTCTAATATAGAGGTATGTTTCACGAAATAAAAAAGAGCCCAAAGGCAAATTAAGATATAAAGTAATTTCATTCGCCTTAATTGATAAAACAATATGCATGCAATCAGATTTTAAGTACCCAAGATATAGCTAGAACTTGTTACTGGTAGGTAACTGGTAGATCGTGGTCAAGATGCGACTCCATGCTTGTCAAAAATGAATTAATCTATAACATGAAAACATATTTATTACTGAATAAAATCTGTGAGAGTTAATGTAATATGCCGACAGTCTAATAAATAGGCTAATTATGTAAAAGCATATACTTATTTCTTTAGCTAAAAAAGGGTATGTTAATATTAAAGACCGTTTGTTTGTAGACAGGCCACCGGTAATAACCAAACAGGCTAGAATATGTGCGCACTTGATTTCGTACGATGTTCGTACCTTTACCAGCGACGATTTGTCATGCTATTATTCTTTACCATTTTGGTCGTTCGTTGGTGGTTGTAGGAGACGACCACAACTGCGGCCAGAGCATTTCTTTCTAACAAAGTGACACTCTGTGTGGCCACATCCTACCGTGTTAGTCACGACTGGTCATCAAATCATCCCTGGCACTTAGGATGATTTGATCTGCCGCGTGCTTTCTCCGCGAGCTGAACATCTCCGAAAGAATTCTGTTACGCTTGGTTGTATTATATCGTCACGGGTCTCAAAATATCGGGTCTAATGCATGACAATTGAATTACAAAATTAAAACATCTGGACCTTAAATGGTTGAAATATAGATTTGTTCGCATTTTTAGGGTAGATATGCATTATCTAAATCAAGACTTTACTGTAGTAAATAGCGCGTGTGTGTGTGTGTGTGTGTGTGTGTGTGTGCGTGTGTGTGTGTGTGTGTGTGTGTGTGTGCGTGCGTGTGTGTGTGCGTGTTTTTATAAGCGAAAAATATTGTTGTTATTTTGTATTTGTAGACGATGAGCTCTAACACGGCGATAATTCGCGTAACAAAAGGACAGTCTGTATGGGTTCAAGAATACAACATACATGAGGGTTCCATTTTTTCAGATAATGTCTGGAGATATTGCACATTTTCTGGAGTGTTTTTATACTGATTTTAGAAGACTTTATTAAAATATCCATACAACAATATACTTGTACTTCAATTATTTTGTCCCTTTTGTAAGTTTCTTTGCGACAAAACATTAAAATATACATGCACGCTTTTAAAGCTTGGTTCTTACAGAATGAGCATTTTTTTTATCTAACATTGAATTATCATCTCTGTTTAAGATTTATACGAAGTTACGCAACACAAAAGTAATACACAAATTCATACACGTAATAGTTATAGTATATAAAACAAGTTAGTTATGAGGATATAACACTGGCTGGGACGATATCGAAGGATGTTTCTGCAAAACAAATGTCAAGGCCGTTAGGCCGAAACATCCTGAGACGTCAGCCAGTGTTATACCCACGTTAACTAAAGAGTTTCATATATTATAACTGTTGAATCGCAATTCATATTTTTACCCCCCCCCCGAAGGGTGGCATATTAAAATCGCAGGATCCGTCCGTCTGTCTGTCTGTCTGTCTGTACGTCCCCACTTGATTCGTGTGCGGACTGTAACTTTGTTATACATTGAAGGATTTTGAAATAGCGTTGCACAAATGTCTATCACATCAAAAACACCAAAACGATGTGTCGCGTCCAAGAACCACCTCCCTACCTCAAAGGTGTAGGTCACACAAACATTTTGAAGTTTCACATTATCACAATAAGAGTTAATAGGTACACACATTCGTGTCCGGACTGTAGCTTTGGATACATCAAATGAGTTTATAATAACTTGGCATTTATGTCTACCACATCAAGACGATGTCTCGCATCCAAGAATCATGTCCCTACCTCGATGGTCAAGGTCACACTAACATTTTGAAGTTTCATTATATCACAATTAGAGTTAATAGGTACACGTCTGTGTCCAGACTGAAACTTTGTCATGCATCGAAGGATTATAATATAACTTGGCATTTATGTCTACCACATCAAAAATATGTGTCGCGTTCAAGAATCATGCCCTACCTTAAAAGTCAAGGTCACACTGACATTTTGAAGTTTCATTATATCACAAACAGAGTTTATAGAAACACATACTCGTGTCCGGACTGCCAAGGCTCATGTCCGTCTGACTGTCCGTGCATCCCCACTTACACAACAATCGTGTCCAGACTTCAATTTTGTCATGCACTGAGGGGATTTGAAATATGCGCTTCGGGCCATATACCTTCTGAGGTCTGACCAATTAGTCCGTAAACTTGCATATTGCCCTCAAGGTCATGTTTTATTTGTTAAATATTTATAGTTACTAGTATGCCATTCATGAGGGTTCAATATTTCAAAATATATCGGAAAATATTGTACAATTTCTTTTTCGGATCTTGTAAACAAATTATTTATTAAGATATTTGCTATTTCCTTTAAAGTATTTCTCGAACTATCATAAAAAGTGATATAGAGGAAAAGTCATGCAAAAATGGGTCTAAGAGATATGGGGTCTAAAAGTCATCATAACTCGTATACTATGTTTAATATACTAACTAAGTCTTCGAGAAGTCATTTTCAGTTTCAGTTTTTATTTAATCAAGGCATGTAATATGCAACTGGTTATAACAAACAAATGAATAAAAAATAACAGTCAAAACTCAACTAATATCACAAAAAGAAAACAATTATAATTAGCTAAATAAACAAAAAAAAAGGAAATCATGCAGTCAAGGGGTCTATGTGTCTTATTTGCGTGCATTATCCCATTGAATGCAAATAAATCCCTACTTTTTTGTATTTGTTTAAATCATGACTTGAACATACCGATTCATTTAATAATAATAACAAGTACAGAAACACAAATATGATTCAACAGTTCATTTGTTCTTATCTTAGACAACGTCAGGTTTCACACGAAGAGATTGTCGGCATTGTGACGCATCAGATTTGTTTTTACACTCACTGCAGGAGATATAACTGGTCAACAATGTTAGTCAAAAATCTTAATATCATCGTGTTTCTTTTTGTTGAGACTTTTATTTTGTCTGCAAGTGTTGAGATAGAAAATGAGGTACAGATTACTAAGCTTGTTGAGCAGATGATAGCAGAAAGGACTTCGGAACTGGCCACCAAAGTTCAGAGTCTAGAAAGAATCGTTACAAATCAGCAGTCACGAATTGAGCGTCTAGAAAAAAAGGGACAGCGGAGAGGGAGGACAATAATATACATGATAAAATCATTAACAGACTTAAGACAAGAAATGATGTCAAAGAAATTAAAATTTGTGAAAGAAGACGCCAACACTGACAATGATAATACGGACAGTCACTTCGGAGTGGAAAACGTTACTAGGACCAATGTATCTGTCGACGCAAGAAAAATGTCGTCAGCTATTCAACCGGGTAAACATAAGGATAATGAAATAATTGGTAAATCAAGACGAAGGCGTGCAATAGAAGTCGTGGCCTTCTCAGTTTACCTTAGTCACGATATTAATCATATGGGTATTGGACACCATATTGTTTTTGACAAAGCCATTACGAACGATGGAGCTGGATATAACGTTTATACAGGAATATTTACAGCTCCTGTGTCCGGACTCTACCTATTTACGTTCAGCATGAATGACCGCGACCATACTAGTAATCTACAATTGGTTATGAATGGGTCAAACTTGGTTGACATTGTAGACAGTCCTGTTAATAATGAAGAGGTAAGTTAGTGTAAATAAATCAAGCTTATTCAAATGCTATTCCAATAGAGGCGCAAGTACTCCCCTGCGCATCGGTTGAAAGTTCCACTGCCGTTCACTTAGTTAACGTTTGAAGTAACGGTACTATTTCAATTAGCTGTAAAGAGAACCTTACACACATGGACCTTTCGAAAACAATAAAATCGAATCTTTCATTTTGTTCTTTAATCTGTGTTTCTATAAAACTACACATATGCGTCTAAAAGAAATACAAAAAAGGGGTCTAAGAGACATGGGGCGCGAATTGAACGTCTAGAAAAGCAGGAAAAGCGGAAAGAAAAGGACAATTATGGAGATGATAAAATCATTAACAGACTTAAGACAAGAAATAAAGTCAAAGAATATAGTATCTGTGAAGGAAGAAGCCATCACTGTCAACTATAATACGGACAGACACTTCGAAGTGGAAAACGTGACTGGGCTCAATGTTGACACGAGAAAAAAGGCTTCAGCTATTCGACCTGGTAAACAAAAGGATAATGAAATAATTGGTAAACCAAGGCGGAGGCGTCAGGTGGAAATTGTGGCCTTCTCAGTTTACCTTAGTCACGATATTAATCATATATGGGGAGTGGACACCATATTGTTTTTGACAAGGCCATTACGAACGACGGAGCTGGATATAACACCTATACAGGAATATTTACAGCTCCAGTGACCGGACTCTACCTATTTACTTTCAGCGTGGTTGACGGCGGCCATATAAGTGTTCTACAATTAGTTAAGGATGGGTCTAATTTGGTTGACATGGTAGTGAGTCCTGTCAATGATGAAGAGGTAAATGCATGTTAAGTGTTAATAAATCAAGCTTATTCAAATGCTTTGGCACAATAAAAGACTCAATAGAGGCGCAAGTACTCCCCTGCACATCGGTTGAAAGTTCCACTGCCGTTCACTTAGTTAACGTTTGAAGTAACACTGGTATTTCAATTACATGTAGCTGTAAAGAGAACGTAAACACACGGACCTTTCAAAAACAATAAAATTGAATCTTTTATCTGTGTCTCACACGTGTCAAATGTGTTTCTACAAATTTGCAACGAAAACAAGTATATTATAACCAATAAATGTGCTTTCCGACAAACAACTTTTTGTCCCGTCCCAGACAATAATTATAAAAGATGATAAAATATATAAAAAAAAAATGCATTCATTTATAGAGTTTTGCAGAATATTAATTTGTAAAAAATAGCAAAGTTTAGTAATCAATATGATTATAATGTTGTATATAGCAATGGTCATTATATTGTAGTCTATGAGCAGCAACACGGTGATAGTTCATGTAAACAGAGGACAGTCAGTGTGGATTCAGGAGTATACACATAACGATGGGTCAATACGTTCGCGTGAACATTGGCGTTACTGTACATTTTCTGGATTTCTTGTGTATTAAATAAGCTCAGGAAATAAATCAGTAGTTAGAAATCATATTCAGAAGTCCAAATACTTTTTAATACTTACTTAACTGTTGACAAGTTGTCATATACATATATATTTGTATCGAAAATATAATAAAATTACAATTTTACACAAAGGAAGTGGGTTTTTGCTCTAGAAATAACTCGCGAATGTTCCATAAATAATAACACATGATTCTGTATTTTTGTAAAATAATCTAATCCAAGACTTTATTGAGGGACCAAAATTAAAAAAACTCTATAACCTTGTGCTTAAAATTCCATGACACAGTATCAAATGCAGCTGCAAAAGCAATTAAAAGCAATAACCCTGGAATGTTATGCTTTTCAGAGTGAAATAATAAATCATAAAGCATTCTTATGTTGAAAACCATTAGCCTGCCTGGCAAAAACCCAGTTTGATCTTCATTTATAATATCTTTTAATTTATTTTTCAGTCTAAAAGCTATTGATAATGCAATCTTGTACGAGACATTTAGTAAAAAGATACGTCTCCATTTTTTTCAAAATTTTATACAATTTACCTTTGTTTCCTTTAGGAATACAAGTTATAACTCCTTGTCTTTGAGTAATTGAGTAACTGAAAGTTTTCCTATATAATATGCATAATTAACTGATCTAACAAGTAAAAGTCCAATATCACTCCAGTAAAAATTATAAAATTCAACAGTAAAACCATCATTTCCTGGGTTTGTATTGTTTGACATTCGTTTTAAAGAATCTAACATTTCATTATAATGTTAATTCTCCCTCAGTTGATAGCTTACTATTTTCTGACAATTTAGGTATGTTAGACCCTCCAAGAAGTTTTACTAAGGATATGTTATCTATTTCCCTTTCTTTGTATAAATTCTACTTCACTTCAACCAAAATTTCTTCTTGAGTTCTTAAAATCTGACCATTTTCTGAGATTAGTGAATTCATTAATTTT